ATCATGCTTGAACTGAGCACCTCCTACAAGGCAGTAGGACTCGTCTAGTTTAAAGATGATATAAACAGTAAGATAATATCTTATCAGAGTCTAAAACTATAGTCCAGATCTAAAACAGAATATTTATATGTATGATAGATAAAATAATAGTGGAATTTGTAAGTTTTATTTTCGTGTGCGTGTGTGTGTGTGTGTGTGTGTGTGTGTGTGTGTGTGTGTGTGTGTCTGTGGCAATTCCAGGGCATGAACTCACACCTGGGTACTGTCCTTGAGGATTTGTTCCTCAAGCCTAGAGCTCTACTTACGAACATCTCCAATTTTTTTGGCTTTTGCTTAGTTAATTACAGATAAAAGTCTCAAGGACTTTCCTACCCAGGCTAGTTTCAAACCATAACCCACCAATCTCTGCCTCTTTAGTACCTAGGATTACAGGTATGAGCCACTGTCACCTGTGTTTTTCAAGTATTGAAAACGTCTTTTATCAAGGCTGGGGGTCAGTGATAACTCAGATGTTAGAATTCTAGCCATTCAAGTAGAAAACCTGTATTCAATCTCTAGTATTAACCCCCTAACACCAAAAAAAGAAAGAAAACATTCTCAGAACACTTCAGATTTACAAAAGGTCAAGCCACTGCAATCAACTAAATCTTCATACACATTAGTTTTCAAAACTTGTGTCCCTAAACTCTATGTTCTTTCTGATATTTTATTTACTATCTTATGATTTGAATATGAAAACTTTAGTAGAATGTACAGTAATTATATCCCCCTGTGCTGAGTTCAAACTCTGATCTTTGGCACTAAAGCCTCTACCAGGGATAACCTCCCTAGCTTAGAATATTTGTGTGTGTGTGTGTGTGTGTGTGTATGTGTGTGTGTGTGTGTGTGTGCTTGGACAGAGGGAGTGGTTAATATCCCATAGCTTTTTCACTCAAGATTGGTACTCTACCACTGAAGCCATACCTTTGCTTCTCAGTTTTTTTTATTGTGAAAATACTGTACAGAGGAGTTACAATTACATGGGCAAGATAGTGAGTACATTTCTTATCAAGCATTGTAGCCTCCTCCTTTGTTTACCCTTCACATCCCTTCCCAACCTCCCTCCCTCCCCCATACCTCCCCCTGCCAAGCTGTAAAGTTAGTTTTTGACATGACAACTTGTACTTCTCATTGTTACAACAGGTCCACCTGTATCCTTATTTAAATGAGTTGTTTTTCCCCTTCCCCTCCACAAATTATACCGACATCAAATACAGTGAAAGCAGGGGTTATACTGTGGGGGAGGGACATACAAAGCAACAAAGAAATAATCTTATAAATGCATTAGAAACAAATGCATGAAAGAAAAAAACATTTAAAATACATATCTTAGGGTTCATTTTCCTAACATCACCTTATCCGACCTTTTCTGCTTGACTCATACATATACTAGATATTGCAAATAAGGGAAATCATGGGACCTATGTTTCTTTGGGCTTGGCTTACTTCACTTAATATAATTTTTTCCAAGTCTTTCCATTTCCTAACTAATGGAGCAATGTCATTCTTTCTGATGGAGGCATAGAATTCCATTGTGTATATATGCCACATTTTCTTGATCCATTCATCTACTGAGGGGCATCTGGGTTGGTTCCATATCTTAGCTATGGTAAATAATGCTGCAATAAACAAAGTTGTGCTGGTAGCTTTAGTGTGGTCTTGTTTGTAGACATTTGGGTAAATGCCCAAAAGTGGGACTGCTGGGTCATAGGGGAGTTCTATGTGAAGTCTTTTGAGGAACCTCCATACTACTTTCCAAAGTGGTTGAACAAGTTTACACTCCCACCAACAATGAAGTAAGGATCCCTGCTTCTCAGTTTTTATAGTTAAGAGGAGGTAAGTCTCATAGACTCTCCTGTCTGTATGGGCCTTAAACTGTGATCCTCAGATTTCAGCCTTCTGAGTAGCTAGTATTACAGACATGAATTGACCTGTGCTTAACTTGGTAGTTCTCATTTTATACGAGGAAGAATACATTGTCCAAAGAATAAAAGAAAGAAATGTACTCATTACCTGACCTATGAAATGGTAACCCCTCTGTACAACACATTAATAATAACAATAAATGTATATTTAAAATAAAAAATCCTCTGACAGAAGGTTCAAATCTTGGACTGTATTTTCTTGCAAGATGGAAGCAGTGTTTATGTCAAGCAACTACTTTAATAGAAAAGATTCTAGCTCCTTCAGCCTGAGCAAAGAGTTCATGATTAAACTCAATCTCCAACAATTGACTGGGCATGGTGACATATGCTGTATCCTCGTGTCCCTTGTAGGTGCTTAGTTAGGTATTGAAGAGCCAGACAGAGTGACTCCCAGACAGAGTGACTCTAATCTTAAGGTAGTCCTTGAGTCTTCCAAAAGCCTGGAGCTTGCTGAGAACCACAGAAGAGTCAGCCAATCTAGAGGAAACAGGAGTAGCTGCAAAGAACCTAAGATAAGCAGAACAAAGACCCCTTGCTTGCTCACTTTGTATTATACAAGCTATGGGAAAACAGAGGCCAGGGCCTTCCTGCTTAACCAGCTGGGACTGTGTGCAGGGAGGTCCAGCTCCAGCTTGCAATAAAGGACTCTTTGCTTTTGCAAGAATTAAGGTCTCTGGTGGTCTTTAGAGGTCCTGAAAGTGGACCCAAGAGTAGGAATGCTATTCAGTCTGGCTCTGGGGGCTAGAGACTCCATAGAATTGAGAAATGTAAGAGAAGGGTTGGGTGGAAGTAGATGAAGATGTTGAAGTGATGATCCAGATCAAGATACATTGTACACATACATTTGTATTACATGGTAACAAATTCAACACATGACCTAAACTGAAGATGAGTGAGGGAAGGGGTGAGGTGAAAGGCATGGGTGAGAGTGTTGAAAGGGGTGACATTGACGAAGATGCCCTGTATTCATCAACCGCTTCAGTGAAGGGCAGCACCTTCATACAACTATGCAAAGATAATCAAAATAGTCAAAAAGAAGAAGAAAGAAATCAGGCTGGAGGCATGGCTTTTGTGATATACATGCCTTCCTGGAAAAAGAAGATTCCCAGTTCTGATACTCAAAATGTATAAACGCTCATTCATACACAGTATTTTTCAATATAGAGAAGTTACCAAGAAATTGCTTCTTGAAATCAATCATCACTCTTGTTTTTGTCATTTGTGTGTCTTGAACACAGGGCTGGGCACTGTCCCTGAACCTCTTTGTACTGAAGGCTAGCACTCTACCAATAGAGCCACAGGGCCACTTCCAGGTTTTGAGTGGTTAATTGGAGATAAGATTCTCATAGGGTCTTTTCTGCCTGGGCCAGCGTTGAACCATTATCCTTAGATCTCAGCCTCCTGGGTACTTAGGATAAATTCATCAGAAGATATCACCACACAACTAATCATTGCCTTTTGAAAATGAAGGTTTATTTCTATGACTATAAACCACTTCATAGAAAATAGTTATAATATGCAAAACTAGTGAAATAAAAACAATCAGTAATTCCTTCAATGAGCTAGCAATATTGTAAAATTTAAAGTATATATCTCTATGATTTAATCATTGTGGATTTATAAACACTTTTCATCAATGTAATCACACTAAAAATTAATTTATTCTTAGTGAGTATCTCCATATTTACCTTTAGACAATAAATAAATTGACTTGGAAAAGCTTCTTTGGTAGGTTGAAATCCCATTCTTGGGTAAGTAAAATTCACAAAAGATTTCAACTGTCCTTGGATTAATGTTTTGCTTGTTGATGTACACAGTGGCTATTCTTAGTGAGAAGGAAAGCAGCTGACTTCTGGATATTACTCCTATTTCCAGGAAACTCTGTTCTGCTTTTACTTTCAGTTGCTTTTGTTAGAGGCAAGTGGAGACTCAATCTGTGTTGAGAAATAAGCCCTGAAATATGCTTTTTATGAAAACTCATGGGATAAATCTAGTCATTAGCATTTATCAAAACATCAGCGGGCAGGCTGAGAAAGGTAGAGCTCTAGAGAAGAGATGCAAAATGGATGAATCCTTTCTAGTTTTTCTATTTAGGGTGAAGCTGAATTCAAACCCCTGTTGGACACAATGACAAGTAATTTCAGTATTTGAGCATCTGTTGTGAGAACCTGAGTAAGAGTTTTGTTTTTAGGCTTATAGTTCTATCTATGTTGGCCTGAAGCCTAGATGTCCAACAGTTCTGATTTCTAATATTAGATATTAGATTGCCATATACAAACAGTGTACAATATATATCCTACTATGTCCAGCTCATACTACTCTACATTGTGATCCTGATGCTGATCATGTTGCTTAGAGTAAGATGTTGTTGCTAATTTTTACTGCTGAAGGAATTTCCAAGATGCCCCATTATATTTGGTGTTAACACTTGAATATTTTTAGCATAGAGAATTTCAATAAATATTCTTTCTAGGGTTATTCTCTACATGTTTTCATGCACATGACCATGTTCCCATCTGGTAGGAATTAGTGGATCCCTCAAAGAGCATTATTCAGCTTGGTAGATGATCTTAGTAATGAATGCCACTTTCTAGTATATACCATAATAGCCCTTCAATTTCAACTGGAATCTAAACCAATAACAAACATTACATGTTACTCAAATTATACAGCAAATTTTATGCCATTTTATGTGGGTAAAAGAAAACTTTTTGTTGGCGTAAATCTAAATCTCATTGTTCCTCCAGTTCTTTGACTAGCAGGCATATTTCTACTATGATACCATGCTATTTCTGAGTAAATAGCAGTGATCTTTGACTCTTCTGCTTTGTTTTTATTCTTTGCTTAGTTTTCAGCTTGAGAAGTTCTTGCAGAACATTGGAACTTTCCTCCCTTTGCTCACAAAGTTGATTCTCTGACTAACTAGGAACTCTGCTAATGCTCTCTGATTACCTCAGCAACACATGAATACAGTGTCATTTTCACTGTTCCTCTTGCACAACACTTACTTGGCAGTCTGCCTTATGCGATTTGATGCTCAGCTTTAAGAGCAGTGCTTTCCTGACTAGCCAGACAGAAGAACTCAGAGCTAAGGCAGCTGAGAACTTGTCTCCTGACTACAGGGCCTACACAGAGGTGAGTTGTGCGTAGAAACATGGTCTTTGGTGTGCTATTTCCTTGAGGATCAGCAACAGGGAGCTAGGTCCATAGCAATTTTACCGGCTGGGGTGGGGTGGTGTAAGATGTTGGGGAGGGGACAGAGGTTAAGGCAGCAGTGGAGTGGGAGGACATGGGAAGCTCCATGGTGTGTAACCATCCAGACTGCCTTTGGTAATTCAGCTCCTAAGGCTCCTTCAGTCCCCAGGCAGCCATGGGGTGGTGAACCCTACCAAAGCATACACAGGAAGAGCTCCTCTCCCTCAGGTTTCCAGCAGGGGATGAAGAAGAGAGCCCTGCATAGGACACCTACCCTCCTCTGCTTCAAGGGACCTTAATTCCCTCCTGGCATTGAGGGACCAAACCCTAGCCCCAAACCCCAGCAGAGTCACTGCTGGAGAGTTGCTCCTTCCAGCTCTCTCTTGCCCCAACTTCACCATTACCCTCAGTTCTCAGATGTTTCCCCGATGGTTGCTGCCTAGAATTGGAAAAGCTGAGAGCAAAAGTAGTCTTCACTAGTCCATTTGAAACCTCAGTGCACGGCTTGCCCATCTTCATGCTGTCCATGTGCACTAGTTCATGGATTCCCTGCAGCTGAGCCACTTGGACTACTTTCTTTTCTCATTTCTTTATTTCAAGATTTCTTGAATGTTACACACAAAGAAAGGTCAAATGTTACAAAGAACAGTAAGGTCTCAGCCTGGGATCTATTCTGAACTGTTTAATTCTCTTAAACAATTTACTGTGTTGAAGCTGAACATCTGAACAGCAGGTCAAGATGGTGGGGACGGGGTGGGCAGAGAGAGGAGGTTGGGCAAAAGCAGTCATAATATTCAGTATTCATAGGTGAAAATGAAACCAGGTAAAGTGAGGAGATGGCGGGTTGAGGAGAAGCATGAAAGGGGTGTCTTCCATCAAGATGATTGTACTCACAAATTGGCAAGTGAAATTGAAACTCCTTTGTGCAACTTCTTTTTTTTTTAATTTTTTTAAAATATAATTTAATTTTATTTGTGAACATACTGTACAGAGGAGTTACAGTTACATGGGCAGGATAATGCGTACATTTCTTACCAAGAATTGCAGCCTCCTCCTTTGTTTACCCTTCACATCCCTTCCTAGCCTCCCCCCTCCCCCCCTAATCCCAATCCTTCTCTTTCCCCCTTCTCCCCCTTCCCCCCCCCCCCACCAACGTTGTAAAGCTCGTTTTGGACATGACAACTTGTACTTCTTATTGTTGCAACAGTTCCACCTGTATCCTTAAACAACTGGTTTTTCCCCATCTCCTCCACAAGTTATACTGACATCAAATATAGTGAAAGCAGGGGTTATACTGTGGGGGAGGGACATACAAAGCCACAAAGAGATAATCTTATAAATGTGTTAGAAACACATGCATGAAAGAATAAAAAACATTAAAATATACATCTAAGGGTTCATTTTCCTGACATCACATTATCTGACCTTTTCCTCTTGACTCATACATATACTAGATATTACAAATAAGGGAAACCATGGGACCTAGGTTTCTTTGGGCCTGGCTTACTTCACTTAATATAATTTTTTCCAAGTTTTTCCATTTCCTAACAAATGGGGCAATGTCATTCTTTCTGATGGAGGCATAGAATTCCATTGTGTATATATACCACATTTTCTTGATCCATTCATCTACTGAGGGGCATCTGGGTTGGTTCCATATCTTAGCTATGGTAAATAATGCTGCAATAAACATAGTTGTGCTGGTAGCTTTAGTGTGGTCTTGTTTGTAAACATTAGGGTAAATGCCCAAAAGTGGGACTGCTGGGTCATAGGGGAGTTCTATGTGAAGTCTTTTGAGGAACCTCCATACTGCTTTCCAAAGTGGTTGAACAAGTTTACATGCCCACCAACAATGAAGTAAGGTTCCTTTCTGTCCACATCCCCTCCAGCATCTGTTGTTGTTAGAGTTCTTGATTTTTGCCGTTCTAACTGGAGTGAGGTGATATCTCAATGTTGTTTTGATTTGCATTTCTTTATGGCTTGGGATGTTGAACATTTCTTCATGTGTCTATTGGCCATCCTTCTTTCTTCTTCAGAGAAGTTTCTCTTTAAGTCTTTCGCCCACTTATTTATTGGGCAGATGTTTCTTTGAGGATTTGTTGTTGGGGGGTTTATTTTTTTGAGTTCCAAGTATATTTTAGATATGAGACCCTTGTCTGTTGTATGGCTAGTAAAGATCTTCTCCCAATCCGTGGGCTTTCTATTGATCTTGCTAGCTATGTCATTTGCCCTGCAGAAGCTCTGCAACTTTATGCAATCCCATTTGTCCAACCTTTCTTTGATTTGTTGTGTTTCCGGGTCTCTATTCAGAAAATTTCGGCCTGAGCCAAGGAGACCTAGGGTTTCTCCTATTCCATCCTGTAATGTTTTCAGAGTGTCTGCTTTGAGTTCAAGGTCTTTGATCCATTTGGAGTTGATTCTGGTGCAGGGTGATATATAAGGATCTAGCTTAAGTTTTCTACATGTGGTTAACCAATTTTGCCAGCACTATTTACTGAAGAGGTTGTCTTTCTTCCATTCTATTGTTTTAGCTCCCTTATCGAAGATTAGATGGCTATAGGTCTGTAGGTTCAATTCTATTCCATTGGTCCTGAGGTCTGTTCTTATGCTAATACCAAGCTGTTTTGATTACTATGGCTTTATAGTAGAGTTTGAAGTTTGGTATTGATATTCCTCCAGCAGTGTTCTTTCCATTCAGGAGCGTTTTTGCTATTCGGGGTCTTTTATTGTTCCATATGAATTTTTGGATTGCCTCTTCTATTTCCTTGAAGAATGAGGTTGGAATTTGGATAGGTATTGCGTTGAATTTGTAGATAGCCTTGGGAAGTATTGCCATTTTCACGATGTTAATCTTTCCAATCCAGGAGCATGGGAGGTTTTGCCATTTTTTAAGTTCTGTGTTGATTTCCTTTTTCAAGATTTTAAAGTTTTCATCATAGAGGTCCTTCACTTCTTTAGTTAAGTTAATTCCTAGGTATTTTATTTTTTGTGGGGCTATTACAAATGGAGTTGCTTTCCTAATTTCAGCCACACTTTTCTCATTGTTGGCATACAGAAAAGCCATTGATTTTTGGGGGTTAATTTTATAACCTGCTACTTTACCAAAGTTTTGAATCAGCTTGATTAATTTGGGAGTGGAGTCTATGGGATTCTTTAAATACAAGATCATGTCATCTGAAAGAGGGAGAGTTTTATTTCTTCTTTCCCTATTTGGATCCCCTTTATGTCTGCATCTTGTCTTATTGCTGTAGCTAGGCATTCTAATACTAGATTGAAGAGAAGTGGAGAGAGTGGGCATCCTTGTCTTGTTCCTGAGTTAAGAGGAAATGGCATTAGTTTTTCACCATTGAGTATAATGCTGGCTGTAGGTTTGTCATATACAGCCTTTATTATATTGAGGAATGTTCCATGGATTCCTAATTTTTCCAAAACCTTCATCATAAAGGGGTGTTGGATCTTGTCGAATGCTTTTTCTGCATCTATTGAGATAACCATGTGGTTCTTATTCTTGCTCCTGTTGATGTGATGAATAATATTAATTGATTTGAGTATATTGAACCAGCTTTGCATCCCTGAAATGAATCCTGTTTGATCGTGGTGTATGATTTTTTGGATGAATTGTTAATGTCGATTGGCCAAAATTTTGTTGAGAAGTTTTGCATCAATGTTCATCAAAGAAATGGGTCTATAGTTCTCTTTCTTTGATGAGTCCCTGCCTGGTTTTGGGATCAGGGTTATGATGGCTTCATAGAATGTGTTCGGTAGTGAGCTTTCTCTTTCAATTTCATTGAAGAGTTGGAGGAGTATTGGTGTGAGCTCTGCTTTGAAGGCCTTGTAAAATTCCGCTGTAAAACCATCTGGTCCTGGACTTTTCTTAGCTGGGAGGTCTCTTATTGCTGTTTCTATTTCAATGCTTGATATGGGCCTGTTAATCTGGTTTAACTCATCTTGGTTTAGTTTTGACATGTCAATATTTGCTAGGAAAAGGTCCATTTCTGTCAGGTTCTCAAACTTATTAGCATAAAGTTTTGAAAAGTATTCCCTTATAGTGTTCTGAATCTTGGTTGTTTCCGTGGTGATGTTTCCATTCTCATCTCTGAGTTTATTAATTTGGGTGTGTTCTCTTCTTTTTCTGATAAGATTTGCTAAGGGTCTGTCAATTTTGTTAAGTTTTTCGAAGAACCAACTCTTTGTTTTGTTGATTCTTTCTATAGTTTTTTTGGATTCTAATTCATTTAATTCTGATTTAATTTTGATTATTTCTTTCCGTCTACTGGATTGGGGTTTATCTTGCTGCTCTTTTTCAAGGAGGTTTAGATGTGTCATTAAATTGCTAGTTTCAGATCTCTCCAATTTGTTGATGTAGGAGCTCAGAGCTATAAACTTGCCTCTGAGTACTGCCTTTGCTGTGTCCCAGAGGAGCTGGTAATTTGTGTGTTCATTTTTTGTTGAATAGCATGAACATTTGAATTTCCTTTCTAATCTCTTCCATGACCCACTCTTTATTCAGCAGTGTTGTTCAGCCTCCATGTGATACCGGACTTTCTTTGGTGGCTTTTGGTGTTGAGTTCTAATTTTATTCCCTTGTGGTCAGAGAGAATGCAAGGTATAACTTCAATGTTTCTTAATTTAGACAAGTTTGCTTTGTGGGCTAAAATGTGGTCTATTTTAGAAAACGTTCCATGTGCTGCTGAGAAAAACGTGTATTCTGATGCTGCTGGGTGAAATGTTCGGTAGATGTCTGTTAAGTCTAGTTGATCTATGCAGCTGTTTAGATCTGCGATTTCTCTGTTGAGTTTTTGCCGAGTTGATCTATCTAGTGGGGAGAGTGGTGTGTTAAAATCCCCAACAATTAATGTCTTTGGATCTATATGGGATTTGAAAGTAGTGTTTCTTTGATAAATTTGGGTGCTCCATTGTTTGGCGAATAGATATTTAGA